TAGTCTCTTAACCTGCACCTTAACTCTACAGTCCCCAAACATCCTTTGCTTAAGACACAGCTGTTTGAACCCTCCAGCAGCAGTGTGTTTTCTTAACCATCCATATTATTCACTGAGGAGGAGATAGATAGCCAAGAGTGACTAAACTGACTGCTATCAGTTTTGTAAGCCAGGCTTCAATATTTAATTCTTTTATTCCATAGTAATTAAAATGTGCATCAGGCCTCTATACTTACTTTTCTAACAGGATCTGCTAGCTTGGACCCTTATTGTGTGCAGAATCCCAGTTAGGTCAGTAGGACTCCATGTGGATGCAACAGTGTATCTTGCAGCAGGGTCAGGGGCTCGGCCCTAATAAGTTTGTTGTATGGGTAGCCTTTTACGCCCACATATGACTGAGAACAGCAGCATCACCATTAGTCTTGAACTATGTTAGTTTTGAGCCTTTGTTGGGAGAGCAGTAAATTATATTCTCTCTGAACCATTTATTGGGAAGGGTGGCATATAAACCTAACAGACAAACAAATTAAATTTGGAAGAAATATAAGATGGCCAACAAAGGAAAAATCCTGATTGTTTTGGTCCTATTTTCTTGCTTTATAATCACTTGAAAGGTATGTTGTCTCGCTTTACCACCTACCCCCTCTTATCCTTTCCTTCAGAGCCAGTATATTTTTTGTGGTTTGTCTTTTACATGATTGGAAATTCAGGTGTTCACTACTTCCTTTTTCCTATAAGAGATATTGACTATAGGAGAAATGATGGGATTAGGCCAGCAAAGGTTGCATGAAAATGACATTTTGTAGATAACCGGGGGAAGTGTTTTTTGTTTGGACTAATTCATGATGTTTTTATTTACTTCCGCTAACATTTATTTGAATGTCAGAATAAACATCGTAGAAGAAAAGATGTCAGCCTCAACTGTTCATTTAAGGGGCAGGAAATTTCACATTCCACATTCATGGCCCTCAGAGTGCTGGCAGCAAGCCAGGAAAAGGCCAGGCAGGGCATCTCTTCCATTTCTAACTAAAAGTAAGCAAGAGAAAACATACTCACATTACAGACCTCTTTAAATGTCACGAAGAAACAAGTGGAGCATCGAACCAGTTCTTCCCAGCAAGTCTGTAGCACCGCAGATCACTTACCTAGTTTCATGGCTTGGTGGACGTGCTCTGGGTCATGCACCAGGTCACACAGGGCCATCAGTGCCTGCTGCCGGGTCAGCAGCTCCGGGGACTGTAACTCCTCGTTCAGTTTAGGAAGGGCCCTCTCCCCAAAAGCGATGGGTGCTTTAGTGGGGTCAATGTCAGGGGGAAGGTAGGCTGAGATACAAGCGCGTGCCATTTCCAACTGCTAATGGCTGCCTTTCCTCTGCACAAATAAGGACACCCCAATAGCAATTCCACCCCCAAAAGGACAGCCGTTACAGTACCCAGAGGAGAGAGAACAGCTTTCCCATGGAATAAAGCCTCTGGCCTCAAGTGCAGGTATGGCGGGATAAAGCAAATACGGCCCTAAAAAAAGTGGGGGAGAGAGGGGCGGGGGGACGCAGAGGCAGCCTGTCTATTCTGGGCGGCTTCTCTCCCTCTGCTCCTTGCCTGGTTTGTCTGCAGTCACCCAAAAGCCAAGCAGGACATTGGTGCGGCCAGGTTGGCAGGCACTGGGATCTTCCCCGGTGGGTGTGTAGGAACCTGAGCACCTGGAATCAGGGCAATTAACGAGCTTTAAAAAAATAAAAATAATAACGCTTTTTAAAGAGACCTGACGTTACATAAGCCAAGACCCTGGTGTAAGCCAAGACCCTGGTGTAAAAGATCTCAAGAAATTTAAGAAACTTCCAAAAAAATTCTCAGAAATGCTCCTAAATGATGCAATTGTCCGAAAAGAAACCCCGCTTGTGCAGCCCCTGCCCCTGGAGCGCGCAACCCGGCTCCACTCAGCCCGCGCCGGTTGCCTAGCACCGCAGACGCTGCCCGCGCGCGCCGGGCTCTGGGAATAGGAGCGGACGTTATCTGCGTAGCTTCCCCACGTGGGTGCCCATGTCTGCGCAAGCGGCGCAGCTCACGCACTCCCCGCAGGTTACTACGCAGCGCTGACACCGATGGCGTGAGTTGGAGAATAGGCGCAGTTCTTGGCGTAGGTACGGGCGGGCAAAGCCGTTGAGCGACCGTTGGGTGCGGGCGGGGCTCGAGATCACCTCACAGTCTCTCTCTCTCCCCCGTTATGGGGGCGTGGGGGGGGGGGGGGG